CCGGGCCCACGGTGTCGCATCGAACAGCGTCGGCAAGACTCAAGCTTTCAATGCCAAATCATTTTTAAGCCCCGCTCCTGCCCAGGATCTTTCTCCTCGCGAATGAAAAGAACAATTTTCGAGAGAAAGGCTCGTTTTGATTAAATCTGACATGCTGCTGATAACTCCATGCTAATGTGAAATAATTAACATAATAGCCATAATTAAAAGCACGCTAACAATGCCATAAATTTATCACACAATTTTACTAGCTTTTTGCCCCTAACTGCTCTCTCATCGTTAATTAAACGTGTTGCCTTTTACAGAATGGATGTTTATACATTTCCAATATAAATAAATTCGAAACCATCCTCTCTCTCCCCCTCTCTCTTCTCCTTTCCTTTTGGTCTCTCGCCATTTACAAGCAGGCAGACTGTGAATACCAGGTACTGAAAATAAATGAAGTTTTGAGATTAAATCTAAACAAGAACGTTAAATTGGCTCCCCCCACCCAAGAGCTCTGAAGAGGTATGGGGACAGGTGTTTAAGGGTGAATGTGTGTTGAAAACCATACCCGGTGGGCAGTGGAAATAATCTGCCTGTGTTGGGAGCCCCAGATATCACCTCTGCCCTTCGCACCTTCTTTGGTGGCAGCCATCCAGACAAAAAGGTTGATGATGGTCTAATAAGTCTATGAAAATTGTCCAAAGGAACAGACTTCGTCTTGGGGGTAGGTAATGGATCCGGGAAAGAGGGCTGGCTTTCAAATGGTTCCACCCAGGGTTTGTTTTTTTTTCTGCTAAAGAAAGTAGCTACGGGGGGGGGGGGGAAGGGGGGTCACTGCCCTCGCTTCTCCGGAGGTGGCCTCACCTTCCCGGATTGTTAGAAAAGTGCATTCCTGCTTAGGAATGTTCATCATTCGCCTGCTTCAATGACTTGGTCAAGCCGGTGCCATAGTCCCTGACTTAGGGAGAAATAGCCACTGGGGTCGCTTAGGCCTGACTGCACCGTTCTGCTTCCCGCACTCTCTGACCCAACCCCTCCTCCCGTGTTGACCACTTAAGAATCCAAATTGAGTTGTAATTAATTTCCCCCTTCTCCGTCATAAATTGTTCCATCCCTATCCTCCCCTTCCAGGACGCACACACTAAATCTCCCCTCCTCTGGAGACGTCTCAATTTCCTTTACTATCGATCCTGACTCCACTCTTGCCTCCTGTTACCAGAACCTTGCCCCCCCCCCCCATCCTGGACCGGTTTCCGTGACTACCTCAGCCCTGTTATACTCGCTATTTTGCCAGCCCCGCGAAAAACCGGAGTTTCTGTCCACTTCACTCTCATTAGGCAGAATCATTTTCAGCACTTGAGCAGGTGAGACCGCTGGCTGCCACCTCCCCTTTAAATATCTCATGGGAAGTTTGCTAGCTGACCCAAGTTCTCACTTCCAGGCTTAACTGTGTTAGTGTGGGCGTCCCTTCTCCCTCAATGCCCCCAATAATCTTTGGCAACTGAATGTTTATCCTTGCCCACTGTTTCTGTTCGCTGTGTCGCACCCTCCCTCCCCCAATGTGTATCATGCCTCCCCCCTCCCCTTCTCACTTCTCTATTTCTGTCCCAAAGTTTGGCTGTAACTGAGGACCTAGGTTTTGGGATGCAAGCTACAATCGCGCCGCTATTTAGCTCGAAATTCAGCAGACTTAATGCGGCTTCCCGTGTGATGAGGGTCCCCGGAACCTTCCTATCTACCAGCCTTCTCTCGCACTAGTGTCCACCGGCAAGAGGAAAGCCACACCGGGTCCCCCAAACAGAGCGTCCGCGGGAAATCTCCGTGGCCTCCTCTGGAAATCGATATTAAGCCAGTCGTTAGGCCCATGCGGTCCCCGGGTTTGGGGGGCAGCAGCCAGTAGGTTCTGCACGTCTCACCATTTAGCTAATCGAGTCGAAAAGTTTCTGTAAGGGCCGGACCCAGCATCAGATGGTAACACTGATTGAACAAGAGATTAACACAATAGAGCTCTAACCGAGGGGAAGCGTTGCTTTTCACGCTATGTACCGTAATTAATGGTATGAATCAATTAATTTGACTTTTATTGTGTCGAAGGAAAAAGGCGCAACAAATGGAACCGGCAGCTGGGAGTTGTTCACCACCCCCTTCCCTAGAGAGGTTCCAAGGAGACACACGGGAATGGACCGCCCAGATCCGGCCTTGGCGGAGGGGGAGAGGCTGCCAACAGCAACGCGGAGAAAATCTCCTGAGTCAGTTCAGGCCAGCGGAGAAATCGAAATTAGGCTCATTTGGAGACTACCTCAAAAGGAGCACCGAAAGCAGCCGTGGAGCCTGGGTTCTCTCGCGCGTTCAGGCACACACCATTCCACCGGAGGCCTGGCCATCAAGACTGCGGTGCGGTCTGTGTGGAGCCTTGCGCCTGCGGCTATGGCCTGGCAATCCAAGTTGGGCAAAAGGCATCCTTAAATTCATAAATTTAGATTGTATTTTCTTTTCCTCCCCACCTTTCTCTGGGTTGCTTGGGCAGTAGCCACTGTAACCTCTTGCCTAGGGTGATAGACAGCCAGCCCCGGCTCGCAGCTCCTGACGGTTTTGGGAGAAGACTTGGTCTAGTCAACGTAGTAGATGTTTTTATGAGCCAGCGGGTCACAAGTGGTGCAGCAGCAGAAATCAACTCAGACATGCGATTTAGGGTCAGGTGTAACCCCGAGAACAACTGGAAACAAACAAACAAAAAAAAACCATGGAGATTCCAGACTTCTCTGGATAGTCAGTATCCCCACCCACCCTGTAGCCGCCCCAACCCGGAGCATCATCCATATTCAAAGGGCTAGTGGTATAACTGGGAAAGTTGTGTAATGGGGATAGTAGCCAATCTGTGTGTCCTAAATGCCTGTAAAAAAAAAAGAGAGAGTTTTACAGATTAAAACTGTTTTATTAATTTGACATGCCCGGGAAAGTGGGTCTAGGTGAGGGGACAGGGCATGGGAATCAGAAGTACATAACTCTCCCATTAATTTCTACAATCTCTACAGAAATTGTTTCTTCCTGATTTCCTCTCTCAATCTCTTATACCCTGGGGAAAAAAAAGTCCTCCCTGGGCCTTCAGCGGACAGTCTAGTCTGTTTCAAGAGGGCCACAACCGGTAATTGCTCTCCCCTGACAAAGAAGCGGCCTAAAGGCAGGGGGAGAGAGAAAAAAAAAAAAAACAAAAACAAGGCATTCTCAGAATCACCGGAGTTGGGAGAACTGGCTCCCCTCGGATGTACCGAGTCCACTAGCCCCAGCAGCCCTAGGCGCCGACTCTGGGTCAGTTTAAAGGCCCCACCCCCAGCACCCCTAGCAATTTCCAGTCTTTCCTACCGTCGCTGACATTCCTCGTCACGGAAACTCCATGTGCACTGGACACATTCTCGCCTCTTCCTTGACGCAGGTACCTACAGAAGTTAAGTCTTGAAGGGTTTGCCTATGCTTTAAGAAGAAATAACTCATATTAGTTAGAAGCAAAGGTGAGCCCACCCAGGCCAGCATGCCCTCAAACACCGTGGTTCCCTGGATGCCTTGCCCTCTTCTGCTCAGGAAGTCTACGCCCGCTCCCCACAATTTTCCAATTGTCCCAGTCCGTGCGCGACTTCTAATACCAAGGCCCAACGGCTCCTTCCCACCCCACTCCACTTACCCAGACCGCTGCCAATACCTGTTCCATTTCCAGCTCATTTCCTACTTTTTCTGTGCTAAGTCGTTTAACAACTCCAACAGCCGGTTATGACTTCTTTGTTTATAGGTTCCCTGTTATTTTACGTCCTTTTTATTTCTCTGCAACTATCCTAATAGGTTAATCGATAGCTATTTTCTGACCCCGGGAAACCCCAGCTGATGGTGCTGTGACCGTGCGAATATATATATATATGACCATGCCCGCGTCTAGCCAGGAAAGCTGGGATTAGGCTTGAGTAGCTAGGTTTGGGGGTGATTGGGAAACACATCAGCAGGTGTCTAGTCTCTGGAATAGCTCTGAGACAGGAGGTGGTCTGAGGCCTAATTAGCAAAAGGGAGCCGGATGTGTTCCCTTAATCCTTGAATCGAAAACAAACAAAAACCCAAAGCAACATAGTAAGTTTTCTTAAAAAACAACAACAGCCTTGTCCTGAACTGAAGGTCGGTCTACATATTAGCAAAGTAGGGTAGGAAGAAAAGGGCAGGGGGCAGAGAAGGCAGGGCGGTAGGAGTCCCACGGTCCGGAGGACACTCTCTTAGGCCCACGCCCTCTCCACCCCCACCCACTCACACTCACGCCCTCCCTGGACCAGGCGCCCGGCTCCAGCGTGGGCAGGGGTCTCCGGCAGCCCAAAGAGCCCTCGGGGCCCGCGGGATGCTAGCGCCTAGTCGGTCAGGAGTTGCGCTTCTCTTGTCCCTTTGTTGACAATTCCCTGAACCAACTTGAGTTTGGCCGGCTCCACCGCGGCCCTGACGTCACGCGCGGTCACGTGGCCCCGCCTCCCGCTGGATCTTTAAGTAGAAAGTAATCTATCAGGCCAGTCCTTAAAACGGGACTTTCGACTACCCGGGCTTGGCGTTCCTGTCACCCCCCACCCCACCCTCGCGGTTGCCCCTGTCCGCGCCCTTCGGAGCCGCTTGGCACCCGGTGTACCCGCTGTCTGCTGGACCGCTCCTGAGCCCCACGCCCAAGCGAGAGAGGCCGAGGAAGACTGGTGAAGTGAGGGGGCGCGGCGTGGAGAAACCTTCGGGGTCACGAGCAGTAGCTGCCACCTCGTAGGGAAGCGTCGGGGACCGCGGGAGTTCGTGGAGCGCGGCTGCGGGCGGCGGAGCGCAACGCCCGCACCGCGCGATGCCGGGCCTCCGGGTGTGAGCTGACCCAGGAGGGCCCCGAGCTACCTGTGCCCTCCCCTCCCCCTCCGCTCTCTTTCGGGGGGTACCCGCACCCTCTTTCCCTGAGCTCCGCGGCTGCCCCTCACGGACCCCCTCGCTTTCTGCTCGCTCCCGGCCGCCGCCACCAACCCCGTGGAGGGATGACCCTCTCCGGCGGCGGCAGCGCCAGCGATATGTCCGGCCAGACGGTGCTGACGGCCGAGGATGTGGACATCGATGTGGTGGGCGAGGGCGACGACGGGCTGGATGAGAAAGACAGCGACGCGGGCTGCGATAGCCCCGCGGGGCCGCCGGAGCTGCGCCTGGACGAGGCGGACGAGGGGCCACCGGCGACCGCGCATCACGGCCAGTCCCAGCCGCCCCACCAACAATCTCTGGCACTGCCCACCGAAGCAACAGCGACCGGACCGGGGAACGACGCTGGAACGCCTGAGGCCGACGGCTGCAAGGGCGGCGAGGACGCGGTGGCAGGCGGCGGTGGGCCGGGCGCGGGTGGCGGTACCGCGGGAGGTCTGACCCCGAGCAAGCCCAAGAACAGCCTGGTGAAGCCACCCTACTCCTACATCGCGCTCATCACCATGGCCATCCTGCAGAGCCCGCAGAAGAAGCTGACCCTGAGCGGCATCTGCGAGTTCATCAGCAACCGCTTCCCATACTACCGGGAGAAGTTCCCCGCCTGGCAGAACAGCATCCGCCACAACCTGTCGCTCAACGACTGCTTCGTCAAGATCCCCCGCGAGCCGGGCAATCCAGGCAAGGGTAACTACTGGACCCTGGACCCCCAGTCCGAGGACATGTTCGACAACGGTAGCTTCCTGCGGCGCCGGAAGCGCTTCAAGCGCCACCAGCAGGAGCACCTGCGCGAGCAGACGGCGCTCATGATGCAGAGCTTCGGTGCCTACAGCCTGGCTGCGGCGGCGGGCGCAGGACCCTACGGCCGCCCCTACGGCCTGCACCCCGCGGCGGCTGCGGGCGCCT